GACCGGGCACCCAAGCCTCTGGCTCTCTGGCCCGGCCCCACCTGGACACCCCAACTCCCCCTGGGGCCCGGGGGTGCTGCTCATTCCACAAGATTCCGAAACGGAAGCAGAACCATGGGCAACCGCCTCAGGCCTGAGGTGAATCTGGGTTCCGCCTGGGGCCTGCTCTGCCCCGAGGCCCCCGGCCCCCTGGGGGGCTGACTCACACTCTGGGGTACCTGCCAAGCCTGGGGGCCCTCTCCCACTCCCCCAGCCAAGGCTACCAGCCCCTGGGGACTAGGGTCTGAGCCTGGAGTCCCCAGGGGCAGACGGAGGCAACTGAGCCCCACGCCAGCTGAATATGGGTGCCTCGGAGTGGGGACCCTCCTGGCAGCCCCACCCCCATCATAATGCCAGGACCCTCCACTTCCCCTTACACCTAGCTAGGCCCCCAGACCCCAGCATCCTCGCTGGAGACTAAAGGGAAAGGAGCCCCACGGCAGGGCCCTCGCGAACCGCACCCCACTGTGGCTCTCGGGTCTGACCTCCGGGGCCGGGCCCCCCCTCCCAGCAGCCCCTGCGGCCCCTCTGGACTGCGGGTCGGAGGCAGGGCCAGAGCCCTGGAAGGGACACCCACTCGGCAGGGAGCTGGCACCCCTGGAGCTGCGCTCTGCCCCCTCCCCCCACACCAAACACAGATGGAACTCCGCGGAGCAGCAGAGGCGCGCCACCTCCAGGGAACCACGCCTGCATCACAAAGGGGGCCCGGAAGCCAGCACCAGCCTCACTTGGCCCCTGAAATCACTGCTCTGCCGCCCGAAGCCCCACCCTCCCAGCCCCTGCCCACCAAGACTCTCGGCCATCCTGAGCCAGCCTTCCGAGACCTGCCTGCGGGTGACAGCCATTCCCGAGTGACCTGAAGGTGAGCTGGGCCGGGCCGGCTTTCCTGGGCAGCACCCTGCGAACGCCCTCCATGCGCCCAGCCCATTTCCCAGGGGACAGGCAAGGCAGTTACATGCAGCTTCATCTGTGCCTAGAGCAGGTGGCTGCCGACCAGGCACAGTCCCCTCAGGAAAGGACCCCGTCTTTGCGACCACAACAGCCTGGACAGGCCACTGGTGGGGACCTTGGCGACCCCTTTTCTGCTTCTCTAGCACAAAGCTTGGCTTTGCCCCCAGCCCTCGATTTGAAGGTTTGTATTGCGTATGTGCCTTTTTGTCACGGGGGTCCCTAGAAGCCAGGAGGACAGACTAGGCTAACAGAACGAGCGAGTGAGTTCATTCGTCATGATAAAAGTGAGACGACTGGGGGACCCAGAGCCACAGACGCCAGGCCGAGGCCGGGCCTGACCCGCCCGGTCAGTGAGCTCGGTCACCTTCACTCATTTGACGAATGCTGGGCAATGCCTCGGGCTGGTGGGTCTAGGTGCCGGGGGCCCCGCAGATGGATCCCCTGCCCCCTGGCGATGACGTTCCCGAGAAGATGGAAGTGGAAATGGAAATGAGGGGCGTGTGTCTGGATCTGGGGTGCAGGGGTGCTGGGGCTGGCCGTGTGAGTACAGAACCCCGGGAAGGCCTCACTGCGAGCGATCTTGAGCAGGGGCTTTTGGCGAATGACAGGCAGCAGGCAGGGATCTGGGGCAGGGAGGATGGCGGGGGCGGCATGGCGACAGGTGACGGGTCTTGAGACCTGGGCGGGCCCTGCTTCCCCTCTCATGTGGGGGCATGTGGCAGGTGCCCAGTCTAAGACCCCCTGTGAGTCAGGACCAAGCACAGACAGACCCTCAGGTGCTGGCAGGTGAGAATACCCAGCCCAGCCCTGGGCAGTCTCAGCAGCCGGACATCTGTGCCCAGGCCAGGACTTGGCCTGTGTCCTCAAGCTTCTCCCAGAGACTGCCAGCCCGCCTGGCGCAGGGCTGGGCACTGGGGCCCAGACACCAGGGCCTCGAGCCTGTCCTGAGTGGAGAGCGGCCAGCGGCTCCCTGGGTGCCTAAGCAGCTTTCCCGGGCAGGTCTCTGAGTGCCAGCAAAGGAGGCGTGTGCACGCACACATGCATGCACAGGCACACACACGCATGCTCACACCAGTGCTGCTCACACATGCACACACACATGCTCACACCAGTGCACGCACAGGCGCACACACACATGCTCACACCAGTGCACATTCACTCATACACGTGCACGACTCACACGCAAAGTGTGTGCTCACATGCATGTGTTTACACACATGCACACATGGAGCACACTGCACATGCACGCCCACACATCCAGTGCACTCACATGTGCACGGCATGCAGGTGTGCGCACACGTGCTTACACACAGTCACACGTCTGCATGTGCACAGCTCACACATGTGTGCACATGCACGCTCATACACATGTACACTCATACACGTATGCATGGCTCACATGCAGATGCCATGCACACGTGAAGCACACTGCACATGCATGCCCACACATACAGTGCACTCACATGTGCATGGCATGCAGGTGCTGCACACGTGCTCGCACACAGTCACACGTCTGCATGTGCACAGCTCACACATGTGTGCACATGCACGCTCATACACATGCACACTCATACACGTGTGCATGGCTCACATGCAGATGCATGCACACGTGCACACGCATGCGTGAGAGCACATGCACACAACTCACACGCGCCTGTGTGCATGCACACTCACCTGCATGTGTGTGCATGTGAGTGTGCCCCAGGCAGGCTCCACTGCAGTAGCCCCTCGACAAGCAGGGGGAGCTGGGCCTCTTGAGTCTGGCACATGGACCGAGCTGTGCGCAGAGTGGTCCCCAGACCAGCCCCCACCAGAGTGGGCTGGGAGAGGCCGACCTCTGGAAGAGACTGCCTCCGTGGCCGACAGACTGGGGCGCCCCCTGCTCCAGGGGGCCCCAGGCGCTCGGCTCCTCCAGCCCAGGAAGGGCGTGGAAACACGGACTCCGGGCCAGGTGTGCGCTTGGCAATGGAGAGGGGGACCCAGCACCCCGAAAGGACCCGGCCCCTGCTCCCAACCAGCATCCGGCCCTTCCGGCCCGGGGCAGGGCCTCGGAGGCTCCACAGCGCACCTCCCCTGCCCTGGGTGGACGCTGCCGCTGTCCTTGGCCTGGCTGTGGCTCAGCTGTGCACCGGCCCCTTCTAGAGACTTGGTGATGGGGAAGCCGGAAAGGCCAGTGGGGATGGTGGAGATGGCCCGCCCGGCAGGGCAGAAGCGCCCGGGCTTTCTGGAAGGAGGGCTGCTGTTCCTGCTGCTCCTGGTGACAGGCGCCCTGGTGGCCTTGGGCTTCCTCTACGCCCACAGCAGAGGTGAGTGAGGACGCCCCCTCCCCCAGGCCCGTCCCCCCAGCACCCTGCTCTCAGAGACTCACGCCCACCCGCCCTCTGAAGGGTCTGCGCGCCCGCCCCGGGAGGAGCCAGCCTTGCCAAGTGGGCAGGCGGGGTCTCACTGGGCACCGGAGGCTGCGAGGCTGTGCTGCGGCCTCCGGAGGGTCACTGACCTGGCGGGGGGCGGGGGCCCCTTCCAGAAGGCTCTGCCCTGGCGGGGGCTGGAGC